ACATTCCATTGTTTTTGTGTCTTCCAGTGACGGTTGTGAGAAGTTGGCGGTGGTCGGGTCTCCGTACTGGATGGCTCCGGAGGTCCTCCGTAATGAACCCTACAATGAGAAGGTGAGTCCCCTCCGCTGGCTGTGTTTCCGTTGTTGGGATTTGTAGTTTCTTTCCATTATAGTCTATATATAAAGAGACCCTGTCATGGGGGGGGAGATGAGAAGAAGCTGGAGGCATACCTTCCCTCTAAGCCCCTCCCTCGCACATTCCTATTGGTCTGTCACTACGATGGGCATTCTTCCCGGGCCAATAGGAAGGACCTGGCAAGATTTAGCTCTGTTCGGGATTCGCCGGTCGCAAGGAATCTTCGGGGGGGTCGCTGCAGCTTTGTACAATATTTGGCGTTGTAGACATGTTGCAGTTTTGGGGGCTTTTTAAGAAAACCGATCATCAGAAACCCATGGAGACCGTCGCCGGCGTCCTTCCTCTGGAATGCCGACTGCCTGGCTGTCACGGGAACCCTTTCACCTCATTACTTTGAGTCACTGAGCTCAGAGAAGTGTGCTGATTGGTCAGAAGTTCTTATCTGTGTGCTGGTTCCGGGTCCGAAGGGCGAAGGGTTAAATCTGAGCTCCCGGCAGATATAAAAGAGGATCCGGAATACATCAGTAAATCTATTTGATATACAAGCGGTGTGAGTAGCTGAATGTGACCCGGGAACAGCCTCTTGAGGGCCCTGTACAGCAGAGCTGGGGTGTGAGAGGGAAAAGCAGCACAAGGAGGCGGTCACTTCATGGAGGAGAAGCATGCTGATAGGAGGAGAGAGCAGATTGATGGGCACATGACTGTGCTGCTTCTCCTTTCACTGATAGAACCTCCATGACGCAGGTCCAGCCAGCCGGCAACATTCCTCCGAAGAAGCCTCTGAACCTTCAACCACAACGCTGTGTGCACGGCATGGGTACATGGTGGGAGTAGTAGTACAGAGGACGCTGAGCTGTGTGCATGGTTTGGGTACACGGTGGGAGTAGTATTACAGAGGACGCTTAGCTGTGTGCATGGTATGGGTACACGGTGGGAGTAGTAATACAGAGGACGCTGAGCTGTGTGCATGGTATGGGTACACGGTGGGAGTAGTAGTACAGAGGATGCTGAGCTGTGTGCATGGTAGGGGTACACGGTGGGAGTAGTAATACAGAGGACGCTGAGCTGTGTGCATGGTATGGGTACACGGTGGGAGTAGTAGTACAGAGGACGCTGAGCTGTGTGCATGGTATGGGTACACGGTGGGAGTAGTAGTACAGAGGACGCTGAGCTGTGTGCATGGTTTGGGTACACGGTGGGAGTAGTAATACAGAGGACGCTGAGCTGTGTGCATGGTATGGGTACACGGTGGGAGTAGTATTACAGAGGACGCTGAGCTGTGTGCATGGTATGGGTACACGGTGGGAGTAGTAGTACAGAGGACGCTGAGCTGTGTGCATGGTATGGGTACACGGTGCGAGTAGTAGTACAGAGGACGCTGAGCTTTGTGCATGGTATGGGTACACGGTGGGAGTAGTAGTACAGAGGATGCTGAGCTGTGTGCATGGTTTGGGTACGCTCCCGAGCTGCCTCTCCCCTACTACACCCTGCTGAGTGTGATTGCGCGTAGGCGACGCGTTCCAGGGATTTCTGTACACAATCCGGTTTGAATAGCTCTTCCTGTACTCGGGGAAGATGCGTGACATTCCTGCGCGGATGATCACACGCGGCTCGTGTATGGAGCCGACATTGACTGAGTGACTGCTGGTAAAAGATTAATCGGGACGCAGATCGTTATCGGCTGACGCGGTACAAAGGAGACGAACTTCACTGTGCAAACCGCGTGCGGGAACTCCTCCCACTTCTGCTATTCGTGGGAACGCCGGGATTGTCCTCGTCCCCTCTGCACGCAGCGAGGCTCCACGACCGCCATAGCCACGCCCTCTGGACGCAATGCTATCGGCCGCACAGGATCGCAAGGCACATTATGCGGGCCGGAGGGCGTGGCTACGGTGCCATTCACTTCAATGGCCCGCCACGCCCCCCTCCTGCCCCATAAAAAAGTGAGCCGGTCACAATGCCACGCAGTGCGTTCTGGCCAGAATCGGACCGGAACGCACCGCATCTGGTGTGAACGAGGTCTTAGACATACAACAGTCCTTGTTACAAACGGCAGAGTTCAATCGGCGCCGGCCCTGGGGGGGAGGAAAGGGTTACAGGGCGGCTTTGGCTGCTGCGGTAAATGACTGCGAGCGCTCGGCCGGATATAATGGCCTGTTTGGTCTATGAGCTCTATGAGCGCTTTGTCCTGACCGGGATAATGAACAGGTAGAGGAGGGAGGAAGTTCCTGCGCCGCTCGCCTCCTGACATTCCGTGGAAACATTCGATTGTTCTGGAATTATTTTGCCAGGAAGTGAAACTTGCGTGTGATCGCGCCGCATTCTTGTTCTGGGGCGACGAAGACGAAACGTAAAGCGATATTAAAGGAGAACTATGGGGTCAGGGCTTTTCCCCATAGTTCTCCTCCGGGTAAAAGGTAAGAAACGCCCCGGAGGTTAAGGCCCCGTTCACATGTAGCGACATATCGCACGATTTCAATGCTTTTCAATGGAGCCGTCTTAACTCCATGTCGCGCGTCACAAGTCGCTTCTACCGGACCCTTTTTTCGGCAGATTTTGCGCGATTTTGCTTTTTCTCTATGGAGCCCGACGGAGAAGGTCGCGCTACCGTCGCTGGATCGTCGCCCCGAAAGTCGCGCTATCCCGGCCGCTGCAAAAGGTATGTCGCTACGTGTGAATGGGGTCTAATACTACTTTACCCGCTGCGCTGGAATCCATCATCGCGAGCCGTTTATCCCTTTTCCCTCTCCCCCGGCGCAGAGCGAGCGTCATTCCCGGAGTGCGCTGAAGGAGAATTCCACATAAGAATGTTTTTGGGGTTTTTTTTCCCCCCTTCATATGAGAAATTGTTGAAGAGAAATGGAGCTTTCAGTTGAATTCGGCTACTTGTGAAGCTGCCGCCACGCAGTGTCCGTCCGTAGAGCTGCATGCTCGGCACTCCCCCCCCCCCCCCGAGGGTCACAGGCGGTCTCCTCTACGGAGGGCAATCTCTGCTGTGGTGTCATTGCTCTCTATCACCCCGGCGTCTCCGGCGCACACACGCGCGGGGCTGCGGATGATCCTCGCCGGCTGCTGCACACCGAGAAAACTTCATTTTTATTGCAACTCGGTGACACGATTCTAAAGCCCAAATAAACTTTGTGACATCCGCTAAATTCCTTCCAGGTGACGTGAGTGCAAAGTCCTACAGCTAGGTCCCTATAGAAAGCAGCCAGCACCTGAGTAGAGAAGCCTGTGCCCTGCCAGCACGCTGCAGAGGAGGACCATTGCCGTCTGTGGGGGAAGCAGTGGTCTCTCTGCAAAGGTCTGACACGCCCCCCTGCTGAGTCACAGCTAAAGCACTCCAATCGAGAGGGAGCATGAGCTTTGCTGATTGGAGAGATCTGGCTGAGACTCAAAAGGGGGAGTGTCAGACCTCTGCAGAGAGACCACTGCTTCCCCACAGACAGCAATGGTCCTCCTCTGCAGTATTGCGGTCTGTGTGGAAGCAGTGGTCTCTCTGCAAAGGTCTGACACGCCCCCCTGCTGAGTCAGAGCTATAGCACTCCAATCAGCAGGGAGCATGAGCTTTGATTGGAGAGATCTGGCTGAGACTCAGCAGGGAGTGTCAGACCTCTGCAGAGAGACCACTGCTTCCCCACAGACAGCAGTAGTCGCTCTCTGCGGCATGCCGGCAGGACTCTTCTACTATAGGAAACTAGCTGTAAGACTTTGCACATGCAGGCATTGCATCATATAGTCCAGGGGTGGGCAGTCTCGGCCCACAGCTGCTGCGGAACTACAAGTCCCATGAGGCATTGCAAGACTGACGGCCACAGTCATGACTCCCAGAGGTATCGGCATGATGGGATATGTAGTTTTGCTGCAGCTAGAGTGCTGAGGTTGCCTTCCCCTGCTCTGGCGCTTTCCTCCCCAGCCTGACTGTCCCTGGCCCCGCCCTTTCATCCATTGGACTTCAGTTCTGTCAATCATGGAGGCTCAGCGTCTCATGTGGGCATCGCCTAGGGCGGTCTGTATGCAAATATAGCCCACCCCTCCAGGCTGAATTTGCATACTGGCCGCCTCCTCATTACCATAATGGAGGTTGAGGTTTTGATTGGATTATATTTGAGTGATTTCTGGTTTTGTATTGATCCGGAGTTCTAGTAATACTCTGCTCTCTCCCCCCTTCAGGCTGACATTTTCTCGTACGGGATCATCTTGTGTGAGGTCATTGCGCGGATACAGGCCGACCCGGACTACCTGCCGCGCACAGAGGTAAGTGCTGCATGGAGGGCGGACGGCCATGGCGGTGCGTGTACGCGGAGCTGATGGTAGGGATGGGGTGGTGGAGTCACGCGGCTGCCGCTCCCACCGTCTCCCCTTTCTGGCCGCGCGGTCACAATAGAGGAAATGTCCTTATCTCGGGTTCCCATGACGACCAAACACCGTTCCCTACAAACTGGTCCGGTTACTGCCGCAGTCCAAAGGGTAAAGGGAGCGTCCTATCACACAGCCATAAACATCGGCATTTCCCGGGGCGTGGAGAGCATGTGCGTCGGCGTATGTGCCAACAAGGAGCATGTGGATAGGAGGAGGGAGCCGAGTGACGGAGAGATTGTATCAGACATTTTATAATTGTTACATTATAACGGTTTCAGTTCTTTAAATTTGTGTTCCTTCTCAGCTGAAGTGTGTGTGCGCAGTGACAGAGGTAGGTAGGTGTGTGCGCAGGGACAGAGGTAGGTAGGTGTGTGCGCAGGGACAGAGGTAGGTGTGTGCGCAGTGACAGAGGTAGGTAGGTGTGTGCGCAGTGACAGAGGTAGGTAGGTGTGTGCGCAGAACAGAAAGTGACAGTTGGGTGCTGTGTGTAGTAATGAAGGATTTCTGATCTCATCCTGCGTTGCGGTTGATGCGTTTTCTCACCTTTTGCCTCCAGAATTTCGGTTTGGATTATGACGCTTTCCAGCACATGGTGGGTGATTGCCCCCGAGACTTCCT